TCCTTCCCGGCTTTCCCGTTTCTCTTGCACCCCTCTCCTCGGCCCCAACTTCGTCTCCACCCCTTGCCACCGGTGTGACTTTGGGGAGGTAATTCCCACCTTTCCCAACCTGCGTTTCCTTTCTCTTAACGATGGGAATCCTAAAATCCAGCTCGCAGCGCTGGGAGGTTGGCTGAATGGACACGCCGAGCACCAAGCCCCCCACGCCTTGTGATGTTTCATTCCTTTCCTCTCCGAGTCAGGTCCAAACCCTGACGTTCTGACTTTGGACTGGTCCCCTCATCCTCTGTGCCGGTCCAGTTATATTGAAGACCTTGGCTTTGCACCACTGGGATAAACCTTACTCATTTCACGTTGTATGATCTTGAGAGAACGCAGAATTTGTTTAAAATTTTATTTAGAACTTTGTTTCACGTTCACTATACGTTTTTCTTACATTTCTTATACATTTTTCGGCCAGTTATCACATCAAAATTACCCATGCTGGATAAAAGGCAGGTCAACTTAATCTTTTGAGTATCTGTCAATCAAAGTTATCCATGCCTGAATTAGGTTAGCCTTCTCTCTTCTATTTTTCTGTAACATTTTATATGAGAATTGCTTTGTAATTACTTGGAAGATTTGGTAAAAACGCATTTTGTTCTCTCTTCATTTCTCTCCTGTTTTATCTTCCTTCTTCTCCCTCACCCGTTTCCCCTCAATTTCTGTCTTCATCTCTCTGCCTGGTCTGTCGCTCCCTTCCTCTCACATGTGATGGAGACATGTGTGTATGTGGGTTCACAGAGCCTATCGCTCGTGGACTGTGACCCCCACACCCAAACATAAGCCGGGTCATTTACACACCTGTCTGCGCCCCTGCGGGCTTTTCTTTCCCTCCTTCTAGTCTCTCTTCATTCCCGTCTCAGCTGTCCTGCCATCCTCACCCCCCACTCACATTTTGAATCTCCTCTTTTACACTGATACAAGCGTGGCTCACCTTAGGGCCATGGTCGTGCTTCACAAGTCCACAGGCCCCCAGTGTAAAATCAAGAGGTGCCTCAGTCACTGTGTCGGGAGGAGGGTGGTGTGCTGCCCCCCCACAGGACCTACACAGGGTCAGAGGTCAGAGCCCTGGCGGACACTCCCTCCCTCACCCTACCTGCCCTCCCGGAGTTCCCTCTGGTGTCACACAGCCCACTGACACTCATGCTCCCTCCTCTGCTCTCCCTTCTCTCTTCTCTGTATCCCACGTCTTTCGTTTCCATTTGTCTCTGTGTTTTGTTTTCTCTCTTTACTCCCCGCCCCATGTCTCCAGCTGTGGCTCCTCCTCTTGGGTCTTTCATTGCCCCCCCTTCCCTCCACCCTCCCTCAGTTGCTCTCCCTTTTCTGCTCCCCTTCTAGCTTTGTCTGTCTCCAGTCTTCCTCTTCCTCTTTCCAATACCCAAACCCCACTTTTATGCATTTTGTCTCCTTCCTCCCCTCCCGGCCATTCTCCAGGCCCTACAGGCCCTGGCTTCCCCTCCCCCTATGGGTTTCTCCCACAGTCTCTCACCTCCTCTCTGTTGTCCCTTTCCTCACAGTTCTATCCCTCATCTCCCCGTCATCCTCCCTAACTTTCTCCTGGCTTCTCTCCCTTCCGTTCCCTCCTCCTCCCCCTCCAACTTCCTCCTCACGACCAGCTGATGAAAGTCAATGTGGGGCCAGCCAGCTCAGGACTCAGATCTCCACTCCTCCTGTCCAGGCACCAGGGCCTGGAATGGACAAGCATGAAGCAGGCTGTGAACAGATGAGCAATCTATTCATCCCTTTTTCCTTCAGCCGCTGAGAATTCTTGGGATAGTCACTTTCTTGTCCACATCATTCACACACACACACACACACACACACACACACACACACACACACACACACACACACACCCTGAGCCTAGGTTCTTGCTTCACTTCCTCAGAAGAAATAGTATAAGACCACTTTTTAAAAATACGTTTTTGTGTCTTCAAGTGTGTGTGTGTGTAAAACACCCTCCATAAAATTGTTGCACAGAAATAACTCACAGTTCATAGCCTAGAGCAGGCAATTCAGAATATTAACTTATTTCTTCTCCTTTCAACACCAAGTCTTAGAGATCAGCCTTTTTTCCCCAGAGCCTCCTAAAGGCCCCTATCATGTCCTTGTTCCACAACTGTAGATGAGGGGGTTCGTCATGGGGGTGAGGATCCTGTACAACATGGAAATGATCTTGTCGCTGTCGTGTGTGGTCTTATCCTGAGGCATCATGTACATGGAGATGGCTGTGCCATAGAACAGGGCCACCACCGCAAGGTGAGAGCTGCACGTGGAGAACACCTTGCCCTGGCCCTCTGTGGACCTCATCCGCGGCCCTCTGTGGACCTCATCCGCAGCACAGCCACCAGGATCTTGCCATAGGAAGCCACGATGAAGGCAAATGGAGCCAGCAAGGTCAGGGCACTGGTGCCCAGCATGAGGGACTCGTAGAATTGCAGGTCAGAACAGGCAAGCCTGAACAAGGCCAAGAACTCACACGAGAAATGTTTGATAACATGGTGACCACAGAACTCCAAGGGCATGGTCAGCACGGGGACCACAGTCAGCAAGAAGGCTGCAGTCCACGAGGTCCCAGTCAGCAGGCCACAAAGCAGGGGCCCCATGTGCATAGAGTAGCACAGTGGGTCACCAATGGCCACACAGCGATCATAAGCCATGGCAGCCAGCAGAAGACGCTCCACAACATCTAGATAGAGCCCTGTGGCCATCTGGGCCATGCACTGTCCTAGTGAGATGACAGGAGTGGTCACCAAGCAGTTGATGAGTATCTGGGGCACACCGGATGTGGTGTAGCACATGTCCAAGGATAGGTTGCTGAGGAAGAAGTACATGGGTATGTGGAGCTGGGGGTCATGATAGATAAGGAGCAAGATAAGGCTGTTCCCCAAGAGGGTGACTACATAGGACATGAGGAGCAGGCAGAAGAAGGCTATCTGAGCCCGTGAGTGCTGGGAGAGCCCAAGCAGAATGAAATAGACCTCCTCTGTGCTGTTCTGGCCATCCATGCTCCTTCCAAAACCCTGGCTGGGTGGGAAAATATGGGTCATCATGAGAGGTGGTTCAGAAATGGGAAACTTCATACAAATAACTCTGTCAAGGCATTAATGTGTTACACAGATTATTACCCCTTCGCCCCTGTGTTGACATGTCCCTTACTGGAAACATTGCTTAATATAGTTCACCATTCAGCAGCATTCATTGGCTCATTCAGTTATATAATCATTCATTGATCTGTACCTGGATGGATTGTTGGATGGATTGGGTCATTCATTCATTTATTCTTTTACATATTGGTTAATGGGTTCTTTCCTTCATTCATTTATAATTGAGTCATTCACTCACGAATCCATTTATGGATGGACTCACTCATAGCTTCTTGAATAGATTCACTCATTCAACCAACATTTCTGAGCAGCTGCTAACTAGGTCCAGACTATATCCCAGGCAAAGGAATTATAATGAAGAACAAGGAAAATAGGCTCTGCCCTCAAAGAGTTGGCAATTTAAATGAAAATTTAAAAAGTAACACAAGTATGCTAAGTTGGCCCACATTTGTGCTTAGTTGGCTCCCTTATTAGCAATGAAAACACTTAAAATCATTTAAATATCAAGATATTCAAAATAGAGATGTTTAATATTAAGAGCAAAGTGGAGATATAAAGGAAATCTAAAAATGACAAGTCCTGCCATCCGTTCGCTCATGAATTCAACAAACAAATGTTTATCACCCATTTCCTGAGAGTCTCTTCTAGGTACAGGACCAAGTACTAAAGAAGGCAATGTGCTTGAAAATATGATTCCATTTAGGAGCAGAATCGAGAATATAGACAACAAGCAGATAAATAATAAATAATCAATAATCAAACCTTCAAACCCTGCAGTGGAATATCACGGGAACTGAGGACAGAAGGTGCACCCAACAGTGCTGGTGTTTTTGATGTGGAATTCGAACATCTTTAAGGAAAAGGGTCCCTCGGGAAGGGGGCTGATTGTGGCATCCACCTACCACTAAGAGTCACCATGCTTCCAAGCCAGTGTCACCATCACCAAGTCCCATCTCTGCTCATGGTCTCAGCTCCTCATCTGGAAAATGGGGAGAATCACCCCACCATGTGGAGAGGCGAGCTGGGGGCTTAGGTGAGGGGACAGCAGCAGGCATAGGACTGGCCAGGTCCACATGGACGCTAAATAAACACATCGCTTCCAACTTCCCCTTTACCAACTCGGGGCCTCCCACTGCTCTTGGAACACCCAAAGACCTTGCTATGTTTCCACACTGCTCCCTTCCCCGACAATCTATCTATATGTATCTTTACCAAGTTCTGAACCCCTAGGAGTTCATCATACAGATATGATCACACGTACAAAACAAGAGATCCACAGGACTAGCTTTAAACACATTAAAAATATATATATAAGTACTGGGCTATATTCCAGAAGATGGAAAACTATCTCACCTATAAATATGGGACCAGGTAAAGAAATTACAGTCCATCCATAACCCAGAACACTATGCAAAAATGACAAGAATAATAAAACTTTTTATGCTGATATAAATAGATTTCTAAGATATCGTTAAATAAAAAGGAAGGAAGAGTGAGTTTGGCGGAGGCAATAATTAGGGTGAGAACAGTGAGTGTGCGAAGGTGAGAGGGAGAACAGTGAATAGGCTACAGTTTTTTGAAATGGGCAAGAAAATTCATGTATAAATTTGTCTCCTTCTTTGACCTGACACTCCACTTGAACACTGTCATTCGAACTGATGAGAGAGGACATGAAAGTAGGACAAGGGAGCACAGTGGGGATACTGTAGTACCTGCCTAGCACATGTAGGAATTTGAGTTTTGAGTAAAAGGGACCTTGCCTTAATCTGAGGGTACAGAAATGCATTCCAAGGAAGTGTGTTGAGAGAGAAAAAAAAGCGACCTTAATAGCATGGCCACGAAGGAGAGGGAAGAGCATGCAGGCAGAGGGGAAAGGATGGATGGATGGATGAATGAATGGATGGATGAATGGATGCATGGATGCATGGATTGATGAATGCATGGTGGATGCATGGATAATGGATGGAAGGAAGGAAGGAAGGAAGGAAGGAAGGAAGGAAGGAAGGACAGTGGATGTATGGATGGAAGGTTGAATGGAGAGATAAAGCTGTATGAGGTATAACTCCTTTTCCTATACTTCTCCCACACTCAACCACATACCTGGCACCAGCAGGGTCTGATCCAGGAGCTTCACCCCTTCCTTCCATGAAGGGACCACACATAAACAGGACTCAAGGTACTCTGGAACTTAGTAGAAAATAAGAAGATAATCCCAAGGAGGTCCATGTAGAAAGTCTTAGATCCCAGCACTTTCTCAAGCAGTATTCCCGATAATAAGGACCTCCCTTCTCCCTCTCTCTGTATCTCCCTTCCAGTCATCCACACAGTCTCCTGAGGGCAAGCTGAGGCAGGAGAAGAAACAAGGGAGTAGAGAGAACTGGGTAATTGGAAGTCACCTCCCCTTGTGATCTCTGGAGTTTCCTGGGCACTCCCTAGGGATCCCATGCTCATTAGCAGAAGCTAGGACTGAGATGCTGGGAAAAAGAAAACTTTCTGGGTTCCATTAGAGGGAAAGTTGGGTGAGTGGCTGCCCCTCCCACCAAAACCTGAGCTGCCCTGCACATATGCATGCAGGTATCTGCAGGTGGAGACAGTCAGGATGTGTGGATGTTGTCCCACCCACACCAGGGCTGGTTATGGAGCCTTCCTGAGACTCACATCCCTTATGTGTGAAATGGACAGAGAAATCCCAGCTGTTGAGGCCTAGAAAGGGCTCAGTGAGAAGACTGTGTGTGACTGTAATCTGAGGAAGAGAGATTCAGCCCTTGACATGCAGGAGCTGGCCTAGCAGTCACAGCTAGGCCTTGATGTCCTCCTGTGGCACAGCCACAATTTCACGATACACTGACACAGACAAGGCCATTCTGTGACCGTGCTGCGTGAGACACAAACGAGACGATTCTGCAATCGTGTATGAACGCAGACAAAAAATGAGCATTAGCCAAGGAAAAAGAAGTCCTCTCAGACTTTTAGGGTGACCACCCATCCCAGTGGGGAGATAGTGGCCAAGAGCTGCAGTTATGTGGGATGAATGTCTAGAGAGCCCAAGGGCTACAGCTAGTAATACTGTGTTGAAAACCAAAAATTTGCTGAGAGAATAGATTTCAGGTGCTCTCACCACACACAAAAAATGGTAACTTTGTGAGGAGATGATATGTTAATTAGTTTGGCTGTCATCATCTCTGCTTTGTGTGTATGTATATCAAATAGTCATGTTATGCACCTCAGATATATGACTTTTATTTTAAAAGTTAAATTTAAAGAAATTGAAGAGGACCTACATAAATTGAAGGATGTGAATTGGAATAGTCAATAATTTTCAGTTTTCATTTTTACCTTTATCAGTTTGTAGGTTTTGTGCTATCTTAGTCAAAATCACACAAGTGTATGTGTTTGCAAGGATAAGTCTGTGTGAAACTAGACAAACTTGTTCTAAAATTTACATGAGCATAAATGAACCAACTCTAATGGTGCTTACCTCAAAGCTACAGAAATAATCAATGAAAAAACCTTACCAATGAACTAACAAAGAAACTGAACAACACATACATGTTTATTTAATTTATAGGAAAAAATGACATTGCAGAGAAGTGAAGAAAGAATGGTGCTTTCAATATATGCCTTTAGTCCAACTCACTACTATTAAGAGAAAACATGAAAATTTCCCAGTCTAAACTGTTCTTTTTTCCTCTCTTTAATTCCTCACCCCCTCCCCCACTTCCACCCCTGACCTACTGATGTTGTAGTCTCCCCTTAAGAACTGGATCTCTGGAGGCAGGGCCTGGCACCTGCAGGGTATGGCCCGTGGCTCCACCTGGGGTGCAAACCCAAGACCCTCTGTGTGTAAAGCAGATGTGCTAACTACTACACTATGGAGCCACCCCCTCAAACTGTTCTTAAAATTATGTCCCCTCCGAAGGAAAAAAAAGTCAAAAACAAAGTCAAAAAAAGTCAAAAACAATAAAATTCCTAGAGGATACATTGATTTGGAATGGGTTTAGACTTTAAAACCAGTACAGTTGATAAACTTGACTACGTTAAAACTAAGCACTCTATCAAAAAAAAAAATAAGGAAATAAGAAGTCAATATAATGTGGGAAATTATTTGCAGCGCATATATTTGAAAAAGAACTCATCTTGAACACAGAAAAAAACTCCTATAAGGCAAAGAGAGATGGAAAAAATTTCAATAGAAAACATTGGGGAAGAAATTTAAATTAGCTCTAGCACCCAGTAATTGTGTCAAATGCTGATTCAGGTGTGGCACTGAAGGCATTTTTGCAGATGAGGTTAACAGCGCTAGTCCATTTGCTCTATTGTATGATTACCCTTACACATGTGGTGGGCCTTGTCCAATCAGTTGAAGGCCTCGAGGGTAAAAACTGAGGTTTCCCTCAGGTAGAATAAATTCTGCCTCAAGACAGCAGTGTCTACTTCTGCCTGAGTTTCCAGCCTGTTGGCGGCCCTACAAATCACAAACCACCAGTTCATTAAAATAAACCTCAATCTGGATAGACAGACAGACAGGTAGATAGAAACACCTACATATATAGAGAGATTTGTATCTATCTACTTACTTCTATATCGACACTGTTGATTCTGCTTCTTGGGAGGATCCTGACTGATTGGATTTATTTTATTGCTCCTTAAACTGGGAAAAACCCAGATGTTTCCAGCAACATCCTTCATCACAATGAGAACTTGGACACATCGGTGTCCTTCAGGCGAGGACCAACTCAATCAGTGTGAAGTGCGAGTCAGGCAAGTGCCAACTTTGGGCTTCTTTCACCAGTAAGGTGTAGGGAGGTTCAAGTCACACTTGGAAATCTCTTTTTAACGTGATAACAACTGTATCTGACAGGCTGGCCCCGATAGGAAAGGTCTGGGAATAACAGAACCTGATAGGAAAGGTCTAGGAATAACAGACAGTAGTTGGAAGAACT